ACGCAAATCTAGTAAAAATAAATTTTTAAGTTACCCTTATGTAAAATGTAAAAATGTAGCGCAATAAGCAGAAGCAATAATCACAATTTTGCTAAGTGGAAAGAGACGATGAGCTGTTTCAATCTTTCTGTTGAAATGAGAAAGATGTGTTCTTAGTAGGCAATTGAAAGTAGCCGTTCGAAATTTGACTACTGGCAATGAGAACAGATGGTGATGTGGAAACTGCCGGCGATTCTAGCCGTGAACGAATAAAGAAAAAATTCCACATTTATCTGAAAATTTATTAAGCGGTGAACCTAAAAATACCATTCTTTTCCAAACTAGACTGTACTTTTCACTTTGCCTCGTCATCTCATCAGAATCCTCAAATGCTATTTAAATGATAATTTACGCGTCCTGAGATGTTTGGTTCTATAAATCAGGGTCTCATCCTCATTCTATCCCATTCTATGGTTGACACATCAGACGTTGGATTGTATTATTTTGTTGAGATTTTGTTTAATCTCGTCTTCTTACTTTAGTCGCAATGCGTTTAATGCCATTTTTACATGTATTTTTACACCACCGTACCTATTACTTGGTGCATACCCTGGCGTTCCACCAGCAGTGTAGTCGGTTTCTTGAGGGAGCAAGGCCAAACTTACCACCGAGTAAAAGAATATCCTTTACCGATTTACGGCTAATAAGTCACCCCTTTACTTTTTGGCTCAGTACATATCCAGCCTTCCTGTACTGAATTCTCTGTCCTTATTACTCAACATGATGATTAAGTCTTCTCTCTGCCACACTTTTTAGCTCCGATTGTTCCAATAAACTCTAGATCGGAGCCTCTTTTAGTGGGCCTATCGAAGCGTAGCTATCTTTGTCAATGGTCTCACATTTCCTCTGCTTCTCTCCTTTGTATGAATTAATACCTCCATTCAACAATCTCTTTGGCATATCATCATTCATTTTTCCTTTGCAAGTAGACTTTTGAGATGTATTTATCCTATTGTGTTAGGATTATAAGGGGACTGGCAGTTTAATTTTCCCACACCGATGTTAGTGGACATGACGCTTCCCCTGAATTTCGCATGGCCTTGCTTTCCCAGCAGGTGCTCCCATCCAGGGTGGAATGCAATTTCGACCTCGCCTAGGTCTTATTAACATCCTCAGCGGGACTCGAATCAGGAGACAGTAGAATATGATCTCGACAAGCTAACTATTACACCATATTGCAACAAATGCCCTTAGGTCACAGGAGAAAATATGACTTTTAAGGAAGGCCAAGTATTTTTCCATATCACTTTATCTGGTGGAAGTTTCGATGAAGACAAGTTGAATTAACTATAGCAATAGACCACACTACTTATTTTTCGTTAATAAGTAGGGGGACTGTAGTCCACTCTGGATGAGAATACCTTTTTGGAAAAGCGAGGCTACGTGAAGTTCAATGGAAACCTAATGTCTACTTATAATATCGTCATTAAATTCAACTACCCCTCATCTTATCACCTTGGACGAAACATGCAATCGCAGAAAATTTAAGGTAGCTCTCCCTATACAAGTATAAAGCGAATAAGCATCCCTCTTTGGCACTGAAACAAATTTTTTACCTGTCAAATGCATTCCACTGAGGAGGAGAGAGCACTTTTTTGAAGGCGACCGGGCAAAATTCATGAGTATATGATTCCTTATTTTTCAAACGTTAGAATACCAATCCGACCTGGTGCATCAAATTACCCTATCCAGTTGACTAATTACTTGATCCAACATGCAGACGGCAAATTACAGGATACTATTCAACACGCAGATTTGGAATAAGACGTGATCGAATAAAAAATGAACGTTACACTTAATTTCATTCAGCAACACCAAAGCATAGAATAGAAATGTCTATGTAAGTTACGAGAGCTATAAGCCGACTAATATAAACCTTAAATCAAACTGATACCAACGCTAGTTTACCTAGAAGAAAATATCATATACAACATCAGAAACTTAGCAATCAGATTCCGACATCTTAATTAGCTGATAGTTTTTATCATTAGACAGATTACTAAATTTGCTGGGAATATTATTTTACCTTCCAAAAGTCAAGTCTAGAGAGTTACTACCTCTTCTAAAGAAATGAAACTTCATAAAAACATACTTTCAACCTTGTTCTTAAACGTATTTTTATGAGATTAATCGTTTTACTCTCCCGAATTATCAGATTTTGGCGGGAATTGGTGATTAAATTAAAAAAAACTAACCTCTCCTTTATTGTCTCGAAAGGCAACCAGAGCCATATCTGGAACATCCGCGAGTTTTATTCTGCACGAAGTAGCCGGGGGGCCTACTACTTCCCCTCGCGTCTCGTGTGCTAGAGTGACCGTCACAGGCCCGCCTGTCTCTGTTGCGCCATAGCCCTCTATAACCTGTAGATAGCAACATATAATCAATTGGTGGTGAGACTATGCAGATTCAGCATATTTTTGTTGAAGGCATAGCTGGGGCAAGGCCCAAAATGCCTTCCATCAGTCACCCGTAATATCAGGTCAAACAACATCTGTACTTAATCATATCTTGTTTTATAAAGCCACGAACAGCCGAAGGTTCACTTTGTGCTTTGACTTATTTTGAGGTTATCAATAGCTAAATCTAATACTCTAGTTGATAAATGCATAAAATAATAAAATTTCCCGACACGTTAGAGTAAAAGGCAAAATTCATAGGTCTTTCGGATCAGAGATTTCAATACTATGTCATTCAAGATGGCCTATGCCAGCGTTATCCTTGTGGACCATATTCGACTGTGCTATTGATAACTCCGATAGATCCCCATAGAATAACCCAAACAGTCAGAACGCGGGAAATTCTGAAGGTAGTGACTTACAGTGCAGTTAAAGGCAGCACGGAGAAATGAAAAGATTTCTTTTGGTAAAAATGCGCTTCCGGTAATTAGAAATTCAATTCTGCCTCCCCAATCGGATCTAAGTTTGCGGTAATAAGGTTCATCAAGCATGTTTGCCCTAAAAATGAATATCGGATTTAGTATAATTTTCTGAAAGTCTGTGAAAAATTTTTTTCTATTATAGAAAATAAGAAAGAAAATATATTTGAGTTAGAGAGAGGAATAGAGTTTCAGATATGAATCGCAAGACGGACTGTCTCATTCCGATATGGAGAACGCAAAGTATTTGCTAGAAGAAAAATCTAGAGAAAAATTAGCCTTCCTAAACTCATTGCCCCGTGCAACTTCTTGCAGGTTTGCAGAAATTCTGTTGCAATGCTCTGGCTAAAAATATCCGATTATTAGAGTGAATTGGCAAGCACTGAAAAAGGAAGCTAATTGCAGTCAGCGTTCCTGTTCTCGAAAATTCTCTGGTCCCAATTCAGATGTGGCAATAAGTTAAATTGGTAGGTTTCGGGATTATGAGTAGTACTTAAGTAGTCATTTGGCCACCATAAGTCGTTTAAAATGGTTTAACGACTGATAAGTGAGTTAATCCCACATTAATTTATATAGGCCTCAGAATGAAATTAAATTTCACTTGGTTTTGCGTTTCAAAGATAAACCCAACTCACATTTATAATGGCATCGTCGATTAAGCAGATATTTACTTGCCATCGTAATCGCCGATATTACTTATTTTTAATATAATGGCCTCGGTGGGCCAACTCACCTCATTATGGAAAAAAAACAACTGTAGGTCACTCAATTATCTTAAGCGAACTATTGTAATAAATTTTCTATTCAAATGTTATGTAACCAATCATTTTAGACCAGTTGAAAGAAGGCCATTTCGCCGAAACTCGGCAACCCTGTCCCCCATGGTTAATAAATTAGGCATGAATAAAGTCTGGAAAGGGAACGGTCACCATATTTAAGAGTATGGGCTCAATAAGCTAAGTTAAACAGGAAAATTTTTAGGAAAATCATGGTCTCTCTTCACTTGCCTAGTAATGAAGCATAAATAAGCATGTATTGGCATTAAATAGGATTTTGAGACCATCAGTATATCTCAAAAATAGCTTTGGCCACCCCAGATAGCTTAAGGTGATAAGGGAATGATAGTGACTTTTCCCATCCTATCTCTTTATGGTAAAATTTACTATCACTTTTTCACCACCTTAAGCGACTTTGAGTGACTAAAACACCTATACAAATCAGCTTATTAAGGAGTCAACCTCTTTCGAAATACATTAATCAACATTAGCTAATCAGTAGTGAGAAATAGCTGACTTTGCGCAGTAATACTTGTAAAAACAATTTTTTTGTATTAATGGAGAGCACACAAACGTGGATAATGACTCTCACTAGTTTGTCATTTTCTTTATATTCTAATAGCACTCAATCATCGGTACACAAAACATTTCGTATTCTACGTCAACCCCAACTAACTACTTTAGCATCCTTAATTTGAGCTTAATTTAATACGCAATAGATTCTAACACAATATTCGGATTCAAAGACAATGAAATAATCCTATATTTGTCCACTATACATATTCTAATGTCTAGCTCCTCATACGACCACTAGTACTAGTCAGAACATTTTTATTTAAGAATCAATCAAAAATAGTAATCTAAACCTAATTTTATGAAAAAGAATATATTTCCCCTAGATAACATTAGGTGATTTAAGAAATAATAGCAACGTTTTTTCAACGATGCTATAGGTAGATCTAAAGATACCAGTGAATTTCATTTAGCCTTGCCTCCCAAACTGTTTTCTCGACCAGATCGGACCGCAGTTTGATCTTTCCCCCGTCTCATCAGCACCCCCAATGGAATTCGAAACTAGCCGGTTACCATTCCTCTGCAAAGCTACTGGTGCCAGTGGGTCAGAGGACAGACATAAAATTTAAAACAAACTATGTCCTCTCTAAATTGGATTAAAGATGAGATGCCGACAAGGCAAACTTGCATTTGTAATTTAAACCTATGACTTTACTTATGTCCAGCGTAGTCTCGAAACCCTACTTTCATACGAATATAAGTAACGTTGTCGATTTCTATAGCAAATATAAGTTTGCTTC